CAGGTTTATATCTCTAGTCAATAAATTGAAGAATCACTTTTTACCAATATATGCATTTCCCTTTCGAGGTGGGATGCAGATAGCAGACTACCCAATTACCCTAAAGTGAGTCCCATGAACCTAACCTCCATCCATGAAAATAGGATTTTCACACTGTGGTTTAGTGCCTTATTCTTAAGTGTGAACCAGCAGCTTGGGATCGCATGACATTTGGGGAAAGCACATGATACCAAATATTTTTTAGTTTGCTTTCCTTAAGAGCTGACAGTATTAAGAAAGACTCAGAGACTATGTTGTTCTGTTAATGATATGAATGAAAATATATCTGTATCAACAACGAGAGTCTATGGAAAGGGAAGCAAAAAATTGGTAAGTATCCCTGAATCCCAAGTTGGGTGTGGAAGTTTCTATAGAAAGAAGTACTGTATCACTAATAGTATTTCACATTCATTCATTATTTGAAATTATCTCATGCATTTAGTTTATTTTCTAGCATAAGAGCTGGTAAACTTTTTCTGTCATGGGCCAGGGAGTAAAAATAGTAGGCTTTGTGGGCTATGGCTACATAGTATGTGGGGTCACCCTACTTCATTCTGCTGTTGTAACTAACACTTTTAAAAGCAGCCTCAGACCTTATGTAAACAAATGGGCATGACTATTTTCCAATACAACTTTATTTACAAAAACAGACTGTGGGCCCACTTTGACCTGCATGTTGTTTGTTGACACTTGCTTGAGTCCATCCAGCAGAGTATTAGATCTGTGAGAACAGACATCCATACATTGGAGTACTGTGATTCCAGTGCCTACAGAATATACATAATCTTGAATGATTAAAGAACTTGTCCTGTCTCTCAGACCACAGTGCAATCGAGTTAGAACTCAGAATGCAGAAGCTAACTCAGAACTGCACAGCTTAATGGAAACTGAAAAACTTGCTCTTGAATGTTGACTGGATAAACAATGAAATGAAGGCAGAAATAAAGATGTTCTTTGAAACCAACGAGAACGAAGACACAACATACCAGAATCTCTGGGACACATTTAAAGCAGTCTCTAGAGGAAAATATATAGTAATGAGTGCCCACATGAGAAGAAAGGAGAGATCTAAAATTGACACCCTATCATCAAAATTGAAAGAGCTAGAGAAGCAAGATCAAAAAAACTCAAAACCTAGCAGAAGACAGGAAATAACCAAGATCAGAGCAGAACTGAAGGAAATAGAGACACAAAAAACTCTTCAAAAAATCAATAAATCCAGGAGCTGGTTTTTCGAAAAGATCAACGAAATAGACCACTAGCCAGATTAATAAAAAAGAAACGTGAGAATAAGCAAATTGATGCAATAAAAAACGATAAAGGGGATATCACCACAGATTCCACAGAAATCCAAACCATCATCAGAGATTATTACAAACAACTCTATGCACATAAACTAGTAAACCTGGAAGAAATGGATAAATTCCTGGACATCTGCATCCTCCCAAGCCTAAACCCGGAAGAAGCCGAAACTCTGAATAGACCAATAACAAGGTCTGAAGTAGAGGCAGCAATTAAGAGCCTACCACCCAAAAAAAGCCCAGGTCCAGATGGGTTCACAACCAAATTCTACCAGACGTACAAAGAGGAGCTGCTACCATTCCTTCTGAAACTATTCCAGACAATCCAAAAAGAGGGAATCCTTCCCAAATCATTTTATGAGACAAACATCATCCTGATACCAAAACCCGGCAGAGACTCAACAAGAAAAGAAAACTTCAGGCCAATATCCATGATGAACATAGATGCAAAAATCTTCAATAAAATACTGGTAAGCTGATTGCAACAGCATATCAAAAAGCTCATCCACCGTGATCAAGTAGGATTCATCCCAGGGATGCAAGGCTGGTTCAACATACGCAAGTCCATAAACATAATTCACCACATAAACAGAACCAAAGACAAAAACCACATGATTATCTCAATTGATGCGGAGAAGGCCTTTGACAAAATTCAACAGCCCTTTATGCTAAAAACTCTCAATAAACTAGGTATTGACGGAACGTATCTCAAAACAATAAAAGCTATTTACGACAAACCAACAGCCAGTATCATACTGAACGGGCAAAAACTGGAAGCATTCCTTTGAAATCTGGCACTAGACAAGGATGCCCTCTCTCACCACTCCTATTCAGTATAGTACTGGAAGTTCTAGCCAGAACAATCAGGCAAGAAAAGGAAATAAAGGGTATTCAAATTGGAAAGGAGGAAATCAAATTGTCTCTCTTTGCAGATGACATGATTGTATATCTAGAAGACCCTATCGTCTCAGCCCAAAATCTCCTGAAACTGGTAAACAACTTCAGCAAAGTCTCAGGATACAGAATCAACGTGTAAAAATCACAAGCATTCCTATACACCAGTAACAGACTTAAAGAGAGCCAAATCAAGAACAAACTGTCATTCGCAATTGCCACAAAGAGAATAAAATACCTAGGAATACAACTAACAAGGAACGTAAAGGACCTCTTCAAGGAGAACTACAAGCCACTGCTCGACGAAATAAGAGAGGACACAAACAGATGGAGAAACATTCCATGTTCATGGTTAGGAAGGATCAACATCATGAAAATGGCCATACTGCCCAAAGTAATTTACAAATTCAATGCTATTCCCATTAAGCTACCAATGACCTTCTTCACAGAACTGGAAAAAAAACACCTTAAACTTCATATGGAACCAAAAGAGAGCCCACATAGCAAAGGCAATTCTAAGCAAAAAGAACAAAGCAGGAGACATCACACTACCAGACTTCAAACTATACTACAAGGCTGCAGTAATCAAAACAGCATGGTACTGGTACCAAAACAGAGATAAAGACCAATGGAACAGAACAGAGGCCTCAGAGGAAATACAACATATCTACAACCATCCGATCTTCAACAAACCTGACAAAAACAAGCCATGGGGAAAGGACTCCCTGTTTAATAAATGGTGTTGGGAAAACTGGCTAGCCATGTGCAGAAAGCAGAAACAGGACCCCTTCCTGACACCTTACACCAAAATTAACTCCAGATGGATTAAAGACTTAAACATCAGACCTAACACCATAAAAACCCTAGAAGAAAATCTAGGCAAAACCATTCAGGACATAGGCGTAGGCAAGGACTTCATGACCAAAACGCCAAAAGCAATGGCAACAAAAGCCAAAATAGACAAATGGGACCTAATCAAACTCCACAGCTTCTGCACGGCAAAAGCAACAGTCAGTAGAGTGACTTGGCAACCAACAGAATGGGAAAAAAATTTTGCAGTCTACCCATCTGACAAGGGGCTGATATCCAGAATTTGCAAAGAACTAAAACAGATCTACAAGAAAAAAACAAGCAAGCCCATTCAAAAATGGGCAAAGGATATGAACAGATAACTTTACAAAAGAAGACATACAGGAGGCCAACAAACATATGAAAAAATGTTCATCATCACTGGTCATTAGAGAAATGCAAATCAAAACCACATTGAGATACCATCTCACACCAGTTAGAATGGTGATCATTAAAAAATCTGGAGACAACAGATGCTGGAGAGGATGTGGACAAATAGGAACACTTTTACACTGTAGGTGGGAGTGTAAATTAATTCAACCATTGTGGAAGACAGTGTGGCGATTCCTCAATGACCTAAAAATAGAAATCCCATTTGACCCAGCAATCCCATTACTGGGTATATATCCAAAGGATTATAAATCATTCTACTATAAGGACACATGCACACTTATGTTCATTGCAGCACTGTTTACAATAGCAAAGACCTGGAACCAACCCAAATGCCCATCGACGATAGGCTGGATAGGGAAAATGTGGTACATATACACCATGGAATATTACGCAGCCATCAAAAACGATGAGTTTGCATCCTTTGTAGGGACATGGATGAACCTATCATTCTTAGCAAACTGACACAAGAGCAGAAAATCAAACACCGCATGTTCTCACTCATAGGCGGGTGTTGAACAATGAGAACACATGGACACAGGGAGGGGAGCACTACACACTGGGGTCCATTGGGGGGAAAAGGGGGAGGGACGGGGAGGTGGGGAGGTGGGAAGAGGTAGCATGGGGAGAAATGACAGATACAGGTGAGGGGAAGGAAGGCAGCAAACCACACTGCCATGTGTATACCTATGCAACAGTCTTGCATGTTCTTCACATGTACCCCCAAACCTAAAATGCAATAAAGAAAAATAATAATAAAATAAAAAATAAAAATAACAAAAAAGAACTTGTCCTACATCCTTTAGGATTTTGTGGACTTCCTACGTAGATATTTAAGTCTGTTTTCTAAAGCCGAAAAGGTGGTGGTGGTGGTTCCAAATGCTTCATTCTTATTATAATTATTACAACAAGTCATAAGCTAAAGACTGCCAATAAAACAATGTGTTGTGAAGGACTGCTCTTGGGTAAGGAAAGGACTCCTCCTCCTGAAATTTATAATGTGGAAACAATTCGATAAAAACGTAAAAGTTGTTGTTGAACTAGTACTAGGATCCATGCTCTCTTGACTATCCCAGGACTTTTAAACTATTACAATTTTGTCTGTTTAAGTATTTTGTAGTTCAATTTTTTTTTTTTTGTAGTTTGATTATTGTTGTTACTATTATTAAGACAGGGTCTTACTCTGTTGCCCTGGCTGGAGTGCAGTGGTGTGATCTCAGCTTACTGCAACCTCAACCTCCAGGGCTCAAGTTCTTCACTGGCCTCCACCTCCTGAGTAGGTGGAACTGCAGACACACTAGCAGAGCAGGCTAATTCTTTTATTTTTTGTAGAGACAGGGTCTTGCTATGTTGCCCAGGCTGGTCTCCAACTCCTGGGCTTAAGCAGTCCTCCTGCCTCAGCCTGTAGTTCAATTTTTAAGCTGCTTTCCCAAATATTAGTTTGTAGCCTTGTTTATCTATTGAAGAAAAGCATTCTAAGAAAATCCTCAAAACAATAACAGGTAATCAAATACTCTTGTTTTGCAGTAAACCTATGATGGACTTGTTGATATTCCTTTGTGCACAGTATCACTTAAATCCATCAAGTTACACAATTGATCTGTTGTCAGCTGAACAGAATCACATTAAATTTAAGCCAAATACACCAATAGGAATGTTGGAAGTAGAGAAGGTAATTTTAAAGCCAAAAATGTTGGATAAGAAAAAACCTACACCTATAATACCGGAGGTAAGAATTCCACTGTAGATTTTGATGTCTTATGGCTAAAAGGTTAAGTTGGTTTTTCAGTCATTATCAGCAGCTCATTATAAATGATATAAAAATGGACATTCCTGATCAAATGTGATGTGAATGTGGGTATTATGTTTTTCTAGACCACTTTAAGATTCAGTTGGTTATTGAGCCTTGGATTATATAGAATTTGGGCAGTGTTTAGATTTAAGTGCTCTAAAATGATCACTATGATTGCATAAGAATCTACCAATTATAAATGATTTGTATTTTAAGCTACTCTTTTTTTATTTTTTTATTTTTTTGATATGGAGTCTTGCTCTGTCACCAGGCTGGAGTGCAGTGGCGCAATCTCGGCTCACTGCAACCTCTGCCTTCTGGGTTCAAACGATTCTTCCGCCACGGCCTCTCCAGTTGCTGGGACCACAGGCGCGTGCCACCACGCCTGGCTAAATTTTGTATTTTTAGTAGAGACGGGATTTCACCATGTTGGCCAGGATGGTCTTGATCTGATTTCTTGACCTCCTGATCCGCCCACCTCAGCCTCCCAAAGTGCTGGATTACAGCGTGAGCCACCGCGCCCACCTAAGCTACTCTTTTTAAAAAGTATTTTATATGTAAAGGAAGGTTTTAGAATCTTCATGAAAATTCATGTAAGAATTTCTTAAAATAATTTTTTGGCTTCTGTATACTTGGTAAGCAGCAGTTGTAACTTTCTAATATCTATTCGTGTTCGTGTGTGTGTGTGTGTGTTGTTTTCTAACCCTTCATTGTGTTTTGAATTTACTAACATCTAAACTCTTAATATGTGCTACACATCAACTCCATTTTCTCTAAAGTACAAATTTTATGCAAAAAATTTTAACCACAACCATTCTAATATCATCAGTTCTTACTAAAATTGTTCTGTTGATGTAAGCAATAGGGTAGAATTTTATGGGTTTCAATAAATATTCTTTCATTATAAACATTAACCATTTTCATTTCAGACTGTATATGAAAGTTTGTCTATTAAATTGATACATGTGACTTAAATATGCATATTCTTGCATTTTCTTCACATTGTTGTGAAGCTTTTTTCAAGGAAGTTTTTTGAAAATATTAAAACATACTTGCTTTCTACAATATGATTGAATATTATTAATATATTTTAGGATATTGGACTGCTTTCTGTCTAGGTATTCGTTTCTATCTAGGTGTTTATTACATATCCATGCTATTTTTCTAGATGGAAATAGTTATAATATAGCATGGGATTATACAAAGGGTTTTAGTTTTATGAATAAATGTCTTTAAGGATCTGCAAAATGTAGATTTCACTTAGTATGATCTCATGTCACTGAGTTTCATACAGGCTTTAATTCAATTATATAAAATGATGACATGCCTAAAATCTTCCCAATAAATTATTAGTACTAGATATCTAATGAAGAGATTTTAATATTCTTTGCTAAAATATTAAAAGCAGCCAAAGTAGTAATAACAACAACAAAAGCTAACTACATCTTTGCTAAAATATTAAAAGCAGCCAAAGTAGTAATAACAACAACAAAAGCTAACTACAACAGCTAATATTCTCTTATTGATAAGTGACTATGTGCCGGAAAGTCTGCTAAGCTTTTCATACGGATTATCTCATTTATCATGTTTCAGATGAAAACAAAACTTTTAGTGATGTAACCAAAATGCCTTTTTTTAAAAAAATTTAGGCAGTAGACAAATTATTTGAAAGATAAATATTCCTCCAAGGGTAGGATAAAAGGTGTATAATTTTGTGCTATGCGTATTTACTAATTGTAAAGTAAGTATTTTAAGGAACAAGTGAAAACATGAGTTGTAATAGATATAAGGCTAGTTTGTTCTTTTGTCGTTTAAAATCTAATTAAAATATTACCACAGAGTGGTTGGATTATTTAATAAACTAATTTGTTTGTTTCTAAGAATTTGCTTTGGATTTAGGAGGTAACATTAATCAAAAAGAGAATTTCACACCAAAATAGGAAAGTACTGTTTATGTATGAATATGTAACTGTAGATTATCTCATTATTGTAGAATGTTTGTTTCAGTAAATTATGGCATAACTATTAATCTGTGTTCCAGAAAACTGTAAGAGTAGTGATTAATTTTAAGAAAACGCAGAAGACCATAGTGAGAGTGAGTCCACATGCATCACTTCAAGAGCTTGCACCTATTATATGTAGCAAATGTGAGTTTGATCCATTGCATACTCTATTGTTGAAAGATTATCAATCGCAGGAGCCCCTCGACATGACAAAATCTCTTAATGACCTAGGACTAAGAGAATTATATGCAATGGATGTCAACAGAGGTAAGACAGACTTTTAATTTATTTATTAGTGGGATATGTATATTTGTATACATTTGTGCATTATGTTTGTATATAGGTCTTCTCAAGTTCATAATGGCAGTTAATGAGTCCTATAGATAGAAGTAATTACATGGCATTAGAAATAAGACAAAATGTTAATAAATATAAATTAAATATAACATTTAACTTAATTTCAGTTATTGAAATTGGAAATGAAACTTGTTTTTTTAGCCATTATTCACATTTTTTATTTTTCTATCTGTGAATTTTTTTTGTAGGATTTAATTTAATTCTTCATGGCCTTGAGACTTAAACAGAAAATAAAAATTTACGTGTAAATTCATTGTTATTCTAATGAAATGTGAATTACTGTAGACTCATTATGATTTTTGTCTGAGTCTTAGTTATCATTCAAGTTTGGAAGTTTCTTGCCAAATTTTTTCCAAGTCAGCACCAAAATAAGTTAGCTTATGAAATGAATCCAAAAATTCCAAAAGTTTTTGAAATAGCTTCCAGTTTTAATCTCTAGAAATGATATAATGTATTTGGAGATCTTAGATAATGCTAGTTTGTGTGATGTCTAGTGGACAAATGCAAATGTTTATTCAACATGAATCTGTTTTACTAGGAGAGATAAAAGTTTAGTGAAGCTGACAATTATTTACATACTCTGTGCATAAAGACTTCAAAATTTATCCTGAGGTTGTGGCTTTATGAAATCCATAGACTACTTTTTCAACTCAGTGGTTTTTTATACTTGTACAAACCACATCTTCACAGTCAATTTACCCTCTTTTATACCCTCCTTCTGTAGCCACTTCCGTTACTGTCTTCAGTAAGTCATCTTTACAAGGTAAGACATATGAATCCGTAGAAACAAATTATAACGTGAAATTGGATATATTGAAAATAAACTTCTAATTTTACCTTTTCTTAACATCACTAACGTGTTTATTCTTTAAGAGATTTTAATCTAGAAAATATTTGAGTTTATTTCCTTAAAAGAAGGTATCATTTTCTTCCTTTGGATTTCCACATTTAATTATAATAATTTCATTTCAACAAATGTTTAAAAATTACATTATTCTAACAGTGTGGGAAAACATATTTTTTACTCATATGAGGAAAAATTATTTTGCTAGGATTTTTATTTGCTGCAAATGATAATAGATTGGTAGTACCAAGGAAACATCTCAGACTATTCACTGAACAGTAATTCAGAATAATGGGATATTATATTCATTATATAAAATTTTGCAGTCATTGTTTGTGAACATTTTGTAATAATGTGGAAAATACTTATGTTGACATTAGCTTTATACCATATAAGTGTGTTTGATACAATAGATGAAAAAATACTTTTATATGAAATTGCTGAAAGGAAATACATTAAAAATTTTAATAGTGGTTATCTTTGGGTGATAGGGTTATGACAGGTGATTTTTCACATTTCTTTTCTTTATAATACATAATTAATGGGCATGCATTGCTTTCATAGAGGAAAAATATGTATTAAAATTGTTTAATAATAAATTGTAGAAGTCTTTATTCACCCATTAAGAAAAAGTCCAATAATTGACTACCCTAATAATTGCCACCCTATTAAAAACAAACCGTAACAAACTGCATATATTACTTGTTACTGAAATCTCATCTACTTCTATAATAACAATAATAAAGAGATTAGAAATAGTGGTCTCTGTGGTTCTTTCTAGTACAAGCAACAACATTTTGTTACTTGTACTTGACTTTTACTCCTAATTTTGCCACTTTCTGTCTATATCATCCTAAGCAAATTCTGTAAACTTTCTGGACTCATTCTGAGGGTGTCGAATGCATTGATTTCTAACAGCCCTTCCAGTAATGGAAAGATGTGGTTTATTCAGAATATTAAATGTTGTGAACAAACCTTAAGGGATTGAAATAGTACAATTAAGAAAGCTTTACAGTATCAGAATCCACAAGGTCAATCCAAATGCTGTCAATGCCCTCGCCTCCTTATTTTTTCTGATATTATTTGAAAACTTAAAACTTTTCATGCAGTTATTTTAGCCTGCCTTCTAGAAACAAGAAACTACAGTATTTGAGTTGCTTTTCTAAGTAAGTTCAAACCTTTGCTTGTCTTAGTGTTTAACCTGACTTGCTGTGATCCCTGATATAGAGCTTTAAGTGAAGACTTAAGGGCTAACTCATGTGCCGGATGACCATGTACCTGGAAATTTCTTCACCAAAGATAACAATATGGGCCAGGCACGGTGTCTCATGCCTGTCTTTCCAACAATTTGGGAGGCAAAGGTGGGAAGATTGCTTGAGCCTAGGAATTTAAGACCAGCCTGGGCAACATGGCAAAACCCCGTCTCTACAAAAAGTACAAAAATTAGCCAGGTGTGTTGGCACATGCTTGTAGTCCCAGCTACTTAGGAGGCTGAGGTAGGAGGATCACCTAAGCCCAGGAAGGTCAGGGCTATGGTGAGCCATGATCTTGCCAATGCACTCCAGTCTGGGTGACAGAGTAAGACCCTGTCTCAAAAAAAAAACCACAACATATAAAATATTCTGGGTATACTTATTGTATTTGCACAACCATATGAATTTTTCATCTACTGTTTTGACTAAATTTAATTGTGTACCCGTATGTGATAAGTGGTGTATTCCATCTTAAAATGAAATGGTGGCAAATCTAAAAAAAATTATAAATATAAATCTTTAAATGGATGCCAACTATCATTTAGTGCCTGTTTGTCTTTGTGCAAGTTATTAAAATTCTCTGTTCACTTACAGTTCCTGAGAGTATCCTGCAGGGTAAATGTTAGCATGTTCCAATAAGGAAAAGGGCTCAGAGTGATAACTTTTGATACCTCCCTCACGAGGTCATTCTAAGAAATACATTAGGCATGCAAAAAAACTTTTACCATAAAATGCTATCCACGTGTTCATTATTATTAGTTGTTAGCATTGTCAAACTCATTGTGCAGAATGTCTGCCACTTATTTAATATTTTAATCGTCAGATTTAAAAATTTATTTTGTAAAATAGTTTTCCTTTAATATGTTATTGAGGGATTTTGCATTACTATATTTATTTAGTGTTAACTAGCTTTGCTTTCCTAAAGTAACTCCTATTTTGCCTTAATTTATTTTGGTTTTTTAGACATGTATTTTAAATGAAAGCATTTGAGACTACATATTTATCTCTTAGTTTTTCTTTAGTTATGTCTCATAAATTTTAATATGCAATATTTTATTTCAAATGTTATTGAAATTATATTGTGATTTACCATAGAATCCGTATGTTGCTTAGTAGAAGTAATATTTTTTGAATTTTACAGATCACCACTCATTGTTTTTCCAAGTTTTTAGAAAAATTTGCTACTCATTTATTGAAGAAACCAGGTCATTTGTTTTATAGCTTCCCATCTTCAGATTTGTACTGATTGCTTCCTGTGGTGTCACTTAATGTTTAATTTATTGTAAATGTCATTGAAATTTTATTTCAGTGTAAATTTCCCCTCTATTTCCTATAAATTGATGGTTAAATCTAGAGGCTTGATCAGATTTTGGTGAGAGATGTTTTGGCAAGAATACGTCACAAATGTTACTGTGTACTTCCATCAGCAAACATAACAAGTTATTCTTTCTGATGTTAGCCTTCAGTGATCTTTGTCTGCATCTTAACTAAGAGTTGAAAAATGGTGAAAGTCTATTGCAAACAATATTACACCTCCTAATGTCAGTTATTTGACTGCTATCTAGATCTAATTCAATCAGAAGAAGGTAGAATAGGCCAGGCACGGTGTTTCACAGCTGTAATCCCAGCACTTTGGGAGGCCGAGTCAGGTGGATCACTTGAGACCAGGAGTTTGGTCAACCTGGCGAAACTCCATCCCTACTGAAAATAAAAAAAAAAAAAAAATAGCCAAGCGGGGTGGCATGCACCTGTAGTCCTAGCTACTTGGAAGGCTGAGGCAGGAGAATTGCTCAAACCCAGAAGGCGGAGGTTGCAATGAGTCAGATTTTGCCACTGCACTCCAGCCTGGGTGACAGTAAGACTCAAAAAAAGACTCCGTCTCGAAAAAGAAAAAGGTAAAATAAAAATTTGATTATTTCCTTTCATCAGCGTTTAAATAATGGACTGGTTCTCTAGCATAACACAAAGGTGAACAAATAGCCTTGTGTGTTTTTTTGTTTTTGAGACAGAATCACACTCTGTGGCCAGGCTGGAGTGCAGTGGCATGATCTCATCTCACTGAAACCTCCGCCACCAGGTTCAAGCAATTCACCTGGCTCAGCCACCCAAGTAGCTGGGACTACAGGCTCATGCCACCATGTCCGGCTAATTTTTTTGTATTTTAGTAGAGGCAGGGTTTCACCATGTTGGCCAGGATGGTCTCAATCTCCTGATCTCATGATCCGCCCGTCTCGGCCTCCCAAGGTGCTGGGATTACAGGTGTGAGCCATCATGCCTGGCCCTTATTTGTTTATTTTTGAGACAAAGTCTCACTGTGTTGCCAGTCTGGAGTGCAGTGGTGCCATCTCGTCTCACTGCAACCTCTGCCTCCCACGTTCCACCAATCTTCCTGCCTCAGTCTCCTATGTAGCTGGGACTATAGGGTGCCTGCCACCACTTGGCTAATTTTTTGTATTTTTAGTAGAGAGGGGGTATCACCATGTTGGCCAGGATGGTCTCCACCTCCTGACCTCCTGATCCACCCACCTCAGCCTCCCAAAGTGTTGGGATTACAGGTGTGAGCCACCAGAACTGGTCTTTTTTTTTTTTTTTTTTTTTTTTTTTTAAGGATCATTATGAATATATGAAATTAAACACATGTGACATGTTTCAGTTTATTGAGTTACTTTTATGGCCTCCAATTTATCCTTATTTTTACCAGTAGAAACCATCTCAGGTTGGTTTCTGAGCCCTTTTAACACAACCTGGTAGACTTTGATAGTATTCTTTCCAGTATGGCTAGATGTTCCAAGCTTATATTGTACATTTCTTGATGCCAACAGAGAATCAACCATTCTCAAGTAATCATGGTTTTGTTTAATGGGAATTGGAAATTAGAGCCTATTTGGGCCGGGGGACTCAGCACTAATTGGCTGCATCATTGCTTGTAGGCCCTTCAGTTGACATTAGGAGATGCTTTTTGGAAAATTTTATATATAATATTATGTATACAGCCTTGAGGTTTGACATTTGCCATTCTAGCTAAAATTCCACTCCCTAATTTTCAGCACTGTTAACATTTGGGACAAGATAATTCTGTCAGTGGGGACTGTCTTTTGCAATGTATTATGTTTGGAATCCTCACTGACCTCTACCCAGTAAATGCCAGCAGCACAGTCTCCTAACCGTATTGTCAATGGTGGCAGCCAAAATAGTCCCCAGACTTGGTCAAATGTCCCCTGGGAGGCAAAATTGGCCCCAGTTGAGACCCACCCTGTTGAATAACTTTTATGAAACAAAATACTGAGCAATTATAATGACGCACATTTGGAGAATAAAATATTTCAGAGTAGTTTAGCTGTGAGACAAAAGTATAATCAAAATAAAGGAACAAACTGTGTGGTAGAATTTCATCTCTTGTTTAATTTGAAGTATCGTTTCTATTTTACTTCTGCTTCTGAAATGTTGTATAGAACATAGTCTCTGAGTCAAAAAAATCAAGTTTGTGTTGTAGCTCTGTCATTTCCTGAGTGTTGGCCTTGATTATTTATCTTAGTTTTTTAAGCTTCAGTTTCCTCTGCTGTGAAATAGGAACAATATTTGCTTATTGCTTTGAGAATTTAATAAAATTTAGGGTGCTTAGCAGAGTGCCTTGTTTGTAGACTGTAATTGGTAGCTTTTAGTATTAAGTACATTTGCAAAGAGGAAAGTAAGAGAAACATCTTGGATGTGAACAATCTCAGGTACAAAAGTAAGATGCTTTTCTTCCATTTTAGAGTCCTGCCAAATATCACAAAATCTAGACATTATGAAAGAGAAAGAAAACAAAGGGTTTTTCAGTTTTTTTCAACGCAGTAAGAAAAAGCGGGACCAAGTAAGTATTGTCTTATATTGCTTTTTGTAAGATTCTTCAAATATTTTTAATGACTAGTGCTTTTTACCAATATCTTGAAATTACTAGATTTTGGCTTTATCATTCTTTACTAGACTGCAAGTGCACCTGCAACCCCTCTAGTAAACAAGCACCGCCCAACTTTTACAAGGTCCAATACCATTTCCAAACCATATGTTTCCAACACCCTGCCATCGGATGCACCCAAGAAGAGGCGGGCTCCATTGCCCCCGATGCCAGCATCTCAGAGTGTCCCCCAGGACCTTTCACACATCCAGGAGAGGCCTGCTTCTTGCATAGTGAAATCCATGAGCGTCGATGAGACAGATAAGGTGCGTAGTTTTGTTTTCTATTTTGTTTTGTTTTTTTTTTTTTAGGATGAGGCAGGGTACCATGTATTTTTCCTCTTACCTAACTTATCTTTTCCAGGTAGACTAATAAGAAGTAGTCCTATAACAGTTGGTGATTAGTAACAGTTACTAATATGAAATAAGATGAACAGCTCCTACTAAGACTGGTACTAGGAATAGATCCTCTATATACATACAGGTCTGTGATACAATAAAGAGTAAAGGTTAGTTTTAAGTAACTTTCATAGTCAAGCAAATATATATATATATATATATATATATATATATATATATATCTCCAAAAACCTAAAATCTTGGTTTATTAATGCCTAACTAAGGGCTCTTGCTTAATGCATATAATAGAAGTGAAAATACAGTCTTTATGTTTGAATAATTCTTTTTTTAAAACAGTAACACACTCTTTGAGTTGTGTTCATGAATTTCTAACCACACATATCTTCTTGACCTGACTGAGATTCTCCAGGGAATATTCTGGTATCTACCTGGTACATAGTTACCCCACAGTGAAAAAAAGAAAATGAGCCTTTTTATATAGAATATATCACAGTTACCTTTATGTACCCTTCTCTTCAAAGCACTTTTCTAGGTGTACCTTTTTGAAAAGTTTCTTATTATTATTCACCTTTAATCTCAGATTTTCCCTGAGTGTGCCATTTTGTGGAGATCCATTGCAAAACTACTTTTCATGACTAAACAATCCACAAATTCCTTGCTTTATTCATGTAAAAAATAAATGGATTTTTTAGGTATATAATTGAAGATGAGACTGTATATATTGTTGCTGGTAATCGGACAGAATGATTTAAGTAACTTTGAAAGCAGATTGTATTTGGAGATACTTGAGACACTGAGAAGTTTTCTTGTATCTAGTTAAAAGATTTTGTTTTTCCTTTGGGAGCTTAGTAAATGCAATGCTAACATAAATTAACTCTTCCCAAGCACCTGATACACATTTCTGTGCTTCCTTGACTTAAAAAATGTTAACCATAGTTTCTAAATGTAGTTTACAGACTATCATATGTGCAACTCAAAGAGATATAAATGAATTTTTAAAATGCTTAACCTCAGTACTTGGAAAATGATCTATTAAGTTTCTTATTTCTATTAAGACTTTCTTGTCTAATTTAATATTTGTGGTATAAAATCTCATAAATCAGGAGGATAACTTTTTTTCAAATGATAGAATCGTATACTGACAAAGTTTTGCAGGGTAACTGCTTGAGAGTTGGGTGAATCCTCACAGAAGAGATGGTTCTTGAGTTCACTCTTAAAATATGTGTGGAAGTCCATTAGTCAGGCGAAGGAACCCTGTTCAGAGATGCAGGAATGTGAAGACTATGGCATGCCTGGCATGAGCAAGAAACAGATTGAAATTAAGCATGGTAAGCAGGGGTCGAGTCAGGGTCCCAAAGACTTTATTTTGTGCTTGTAATCCTTTTAAATTTCTTCACAATAAAAAGTAGCATTTTTAGGGTTGTCGTATGTTTTTAATTACCATAAACTATGTCACATAAAGTATAAATTATCGTACCTTTGAGTAGCCACCTGCCTTTTTACATATATTAATATATAGAGAGAAATATACTTTAGCCCATTGGGCTCACACATCTTTATTCCAGCCGCCCTCATTCAATCTATTTCAGTCAACTTTCTTTGTACTTGGCTCCCCAAGAGCTCTGTGTTGTCTTTCTAATAGTCTGTTTCTTAAAATTCTGGGCTGTGCTACCAGTGACCTCACTGAAAACTGTTTCTTTTGATTCTTTCCCTCTGCTCTGTGACCACTTGCTGCCCCTGTGTTAAGTAATCTTTTTTTTTTTTTTTTTTTTTTTTTTTTTTTTTTTCAGTATGTTGCCTTTGGCAAAGTACGCATCTTTACACAATTTTCTAATTATTTTTTCTTTTGATCTGGACATCTGGGTAGTTCTTTGATGTATTGTACAGGAGGACCCAGAATTATTTATTTTTCCCTAGAGAAGCTGAAGAACCATTTTTTATTTATTCATTACAAAAATTCTTAGTGATTAAGCGGTAGTACACACACAAATTCATACCTTCTTAGGCATCTCTGCAACTAACTTCTTGATATATTTGATGTGATTTAATTACCCCTTTGGTCTTGATTTTTCTTTCACTTCCTTGGTCTTGAGCCGTTTTCTATTTTTTTTTTCTTGTCACTATTTCTTATAAGTATTTTCCAAATTTGGAGGTGCTAAATCCATGGTCTTGGTCTATATTTACTACACTCTTTCAGAGAAGACATCTCTTTTTTTTGAGTTTGTGGGCTGATGATTCTTAACTATAGTGGTTTGAATAGTGTTCCTTGCAAAAGGTATGTCTGAGATCTAACCCTTCAAAACCTGTGATTGTGACCTTATTTAGAAATATATTTTTTTGTAGATGTACTCAAGTTAAGGATCTCTAGATTATGTATAGGATAGGATTTCTAGATTATGTATAGAATAGGATCTCTAGATCTGTAACTGTAGTACAAATACTTGGATTTTAGCAGGCCCAAATCCAGTGACTGATATCCTTATAAGAAGAAGAGACACATAGTCAGAGAGACACAGAGGAAAAGGTTATCTGAAGACAGAGACAGAAATTGGCATTATGCTGCCATAGCCAAAGATTACCAGGAGTCACTAGAGCCTGGAAGAGGCAAGGGAGGGTGCTCCCTAATGCCTTCAGAGGGAGCATGACTCTGCCAACACCCTGATTTCAGATTTCTGGGCTTCAGAACTGTGGAAGAATACATTTGTGTTGTTTTTAGCCACCCAGTCATAGTAATTTGTTAGGGCAGCCCTAGGAAACTGTACATTAACTTCGTAATTCCAATGTCGATATTCTTCCAGCTGCTGTTTGAATTCACGGTTGCTATTCACTCATCACTACCTGGAAGACGTAGAAAAACCAAAATCATTGTTTTTCTACCAGACTGAAAAGCTCAAGATCATCTTTGAATGTTTTTTTTTTTTTTTCCTTTTACATCTAATTAGAGACCAATCCTTCATTCAGTCTCCCTTCATGATGTCTTTTATTCTCTCTGCTGATGTCTTTTATAAAGAAATCCAGAGCAGAGTATAAAGAGAAAACCAGTACTTAACATGTCTTTGAAATACTCAATGTGGTTGCCACATTTGTATTTCTTAATTATCACTTTTCAGTTCAGAAACTTTGCATAGCTTGCTGTCATTTTTCTGGGCATTCAAGATCCTCTACAGAATGATCACAATTTTACTTTTAAACTTTTAATTCCTCATCATTTATAGGATGGGATAAGATAGGATACTCTCTCTTACCAGAAGATTTGACTTATTATTGCTGATGCAAAATCCTTCATTCTGTCTTTTCAGAATGGAATGGCCCCATTTTCATGTTCTTTTCTACTTACCCATCCAAAGGATGTCTGTTCTTTTACCAGATTCATGGAGAGTTTTCTAAAAATTCCAGCATAGAATAATCTTTGCTGTCTCTGAATTTGCCTCTCTTGTCCCCTTTCATTTTCTCTTAATTTGCATATGTATAAGCAGTATATGTTATATAATTCTAAAGATAAGAAGAATGGGGTAAAAATTCTCCTCCTCTGACCTCAACCAAGTTCTGCTGCCCAGAGGCAATCACTATTAAGTTTCTTGTGTATCTTTCCAGAGATGATGTATGCATATTTAAACCAATATTCATGCTAAATATTATTTTTTTCCTCAGGTGGCCATAGGCTGCATGCATGTTACCCTTGACTTTTTGGTACCGAATTATTTATTCTCGATATTCTTAGAAGCTCATAAAGGGCTTCCCCTTTTTGAAGGATCACATAATATTACATTGATAGGTATAACAAGATTTTCTTACCTCCTCCTCTAAAGATAAACATTAGGGTTGTATTTTAGCATAAAACTTGCAGCATTCTTTAAAATGAAAATTTTACCTTTTTTCTTTTCCCCACCGCAAGGGCAGGAATTGTGTTCTCCAGCAAAATTCTGTAACATGGTAGATGTTCAAGAGAATTGATAAGTAAACATTAATCATTGCCTTCATAGCCAGATACAGTATATACAATGAGAATGTGTCACACTTAGATCGTAAACTTTTAGTATGTCATTCATATATCTGGTAAATTTTCAGGAGTACTTGGATAACGTAAAGATTGCTTACATTTAGTTTTATGGTAATTGGACCATGTAATTCTTAGTGGTATTTTTCTTAAGTTTTCTATAGAAAAGCCAGAATTTAGATAAGGTTTTATTGAAAACTTAAGGTCCAACTAAACTATTCTGTACATGGCATAATGCATATAAATATAATTGATCCTTGAATTAAAATTATAGACCAGGCATGGTGGCTTATGCCTATAACCCCAGCACTCTGGGAAGCTGAGGTAGGAGGATCACTTAAAAGCCAGGAGTTCAAGACCAGCCTGGGCAACAAAGTAAGACCCCTGTCTCTACAAAAAAATAATAAAATAAAATAATCAGCCAGCCGTGGTGGTGTGTGCCTGTAGTCCTAGCTACTCAGGAGGCTGAGGCGGGAGGATCACTTGAGCTCAGGAATTCAAAGCTTCAGTGAGCTCTGGTCTTACCACTGCACTCGGGTCTGGGTGACAGGGTGAGACCCTGTCTTTAAAAAATAATAATAGGCCGGGCACGGTGGCTCAAGTCTGTAATCCCAGCACTTTGGGAGGCCGAGGCGGGTGGATCACGAGGTCAAGAGATCGAGACCAACCTGGTCAACGTGTTGAAACCCTGTCTCTACTAAAAATACAAAAAAATCAGCTGGGCATGGTGGTGCGTGACTGTAATTCCTGCTACTCAGGAGGCTGAGGCAGGAGAATTGCCTGAACCCAGGAGGTGGAGGTTGTGGTGAGTCGAGATCACGCCATTGCACTCCAGCCTGGGTAACAAGAGCGAAACTCCGTCTCAAATAATAATAATAATAATAATAATAATAAATTTAAAAATAGTGAA